GACGCACATTACGAGATAGTTCGTAATAGGATGGCCGGTGTTAACGAAAAGAGAGAATACATAGAGGGCTCAAACCCAGACAGCGTATCACTAAGCCTAGTGGTATGCAACTGGGGAAATATGGATCGAGCGCCGGTGCCAGCAGGAAATCCCAAAAAGAAACTCAAACCTGAGGAGGGATTCGATTATCACCCTCTTATTGACATGTGCTTCAACAATTCAGCACATATTACCCTCGTACTCGAGGCAGGAGCACTTGCGTCAAAGTACTCGATCGCAACCATGCGACAACATGAATACAGAGGGATGCTAATCCATTCTCCTCCCAAGGAGCCTGAGGCACCCTCAATGTATATTGGAGTCAAGGGTGACCCAACAACAGACATCTCTCTCTTCCACCACTTTTACCGTCACCGAACAATGAAGCCTAAGGCTGGTGGTCCCAAGAAGCGACTGTGGGCATGCCACGGTGCGGTATGCCGCCTCACCTTTGGGTACCACAGTACCATCAAGGAGGCAAAAGAATGGGTCCACCCATATTCCGGCCAGAGTATGACGAGAGATGAGTACATGAAGATTATCGGATATGACCCTCTCAAGGGTAAAAATCCTGACAAGGATGGACCCACTGATGGCTCTTACCTCTCACCAGAGGCGTGTCTGACAATGTCGGACCTCGACCCTGCGCCGGTTCTCTGTGAATGGAACGGCCATGTCGAGGGTGATGAGCCACCAGAGGAAGACTTTGAGTCATACGCAGAGATCTTCTCACAAGAAGCATCAAACGATCTTGACGAGATGTGGTGTACAAAAGGGCCTTACAAGGTCATCACCATCGCGATCGTCCATTTCAACTCATACATGACTCATAAGGAAGAACAGAGGCGCGAACTGGTGAACGCGTTCCTCAACGAGGTTCTCCCTTTCAAACCGGATGTAATTGCGGGGGATCTCAATAATATTGCGTCGAGGCTCACCTTAAAAGGTGGAGACGTTCACCCGCGAAACGGTTGTTTTCTCTATACCTGGAGAAGAAACTTGCAGCATTCAACAGAATAGCAGGAAGGCACTCACAAGTGCGACACCTCTGCTTGAACAACTCTGACCAGCACAGACTGGCACGTGCAGATCGTCTACCGACGGACCCGGCGAAGAAAGTTGCTGACCTCGACTGTATCAACAGTTATATCCTTGACTGGAGCAAAACGCCGCACACGGCGTCACCTAGTCCAAGAGATGCTACACCTGCCGCCGAAAGAACATACTGGAAACGAGTCTCAGATATGTGGCAGGACATGAACAAAACAGGGATATCGATATCCGTCTGTTTGTCTCAGTCAAGCAGTACTATTCAACTTTTTCTAACCTTGACCTGTGGTTGAGTCCCTCTGACAAAGATTGGCACAGCCCTTTGGGCTTCACGATACAACCAATCCTTACAAAAGGGAAACACAACCGGTCAGATGCCCAGGTTCAGAAGATCGCTAACAAGCGACAGGCTTACAAGCAGCGTAATGCTGAATACTGGGATTACAAAGACTCATTTGTGTATTCATCCGGCAACAGCTGGTACGACAGACAGCAACCACAAGGTAGCTATCACAGATATGGAAGATTCTGGGAAAGGCCACGGCCTGAACGTCCCAGCGAGCCTGAAGGCTCTCCTCCAAGAAGGAGCCAGGCATCATCGTCCTCTTCACAACAAGATCTACCAAGATCAAGGTCCAGACCTCAAAGAACCAATATTGTTGACAAGCTCAACATGTCTTTGGAAGAGCTGGATGGACTAGAAGAAGAACAATCACCAACAAAAAGTGACATCGAAGAACACGAAAGAGAAACATCAAACTTGATGTCTGCTCAGAGAGATGAAGAGGAACAAGAGGACGAATCCTCCAGCCGGAGGAGAAGAAGGAAGGCATCACGCCCACCGTCTGCTCCGAGCGGCAAGGCACTCAGAACAGCTGCCACAGCAGCGGGGTTGTCGGGCTGGTTCGGACACCGTAACCACGGTGGAGCGAACGCAGAGTCTATCAAGACTGATGAACCTTCACTTCCAAACTCACTAACCAGTGAGCAAGACTTCTCCGTCTTCAGCATCGCGTGGAATGTGTTTCTGCTGCTAATGGGCCTACACTGGATGTGGAAGCAGCTCACCAGGGCTCCCATCAGATGTATGGACCGCCAACAATCAAATGCAAAAGCAGCAGCGAAACGACCACCACCATTTCTCGAACCCGAGAATGAACCACAGACGCGTGAACCTTTAGGCCCCAACAGGGTCAATTCTGGAGAAACAACGGATTTGCGACCTGTGTGGCACACTTCCCGAAGCGAAGTCTACCATCTTTCAGACAGCTGTTACCAGCTCAAGCAAGCAAAAGATGTTTCAAGGAAGGTGCTGTGTAAAACCTGCCTCCAGGCAGTACAAGTTGCGGAGATTCGCAGGAACGATCCTTTTCAAAGAGGTGATACACGATCACGTGGCACCGAAAGGGACATTGAACGGTTTCAAACCTATGACGATGCAAGTACTACTCCTCATATGAGGCAATTATTCAGTGATGCATTGCATTCACAAATGGCCGAAGAAGCCATGCAGATTACCTATACATCAATCCCTAAGGGATCCTCGGCAAGAGCCAGAGGTACATCTGCACTCGCAAGTGCCTCATCGTCGTCAGTGCCCAAGGCAATGCCACCAGTGCCTAACAAGGCAAACATGTCACCTCCACCTAAGTCTCCTCCGCCAAAGGCGAAAGGAACAGTACCTTCAGATCCTCCGAGACCAAAGGTCCTACCAGAAGAGGAGGTCAAAATCGGCGCATTCAACGAAAAGCAGCTAGAGAAGCCCATAACAGTGGACTCTGCAACCATGCAGACGCTGCACTTGGCGAAGCCAATCAAGGCCAGGCCATTAACACTATGTGCCGAAACATGGCAGTAAGACACGTCAGCTCTATCGATGCAACGTTAGAAGCAGCCGAGCAGTTTACACAACGCGTGCAACAGCACGTAGAAACATATGATGAAGAGGAACCGTGGAGCACGGAGTTTCTACCAGTCGTGGAAGTCCTATTCAGGAACTTGAGCAGCGACGAAACAACTGTCATACATGACAATCGTACGGTAACTATGCCTATTGAGAAATATCTCGACCTCCTCAGAATCGCACAATCATTGCGAAACTCTATCCAGAGAGACAAGGAGGAAAGAAAGGATCATCTTGACACCATCCAAGATACTCTATCCAGAGTGGAAATCCTTCTAACAGCCCTGAAGGACTCAAAAACAGTCTTCAATCAATTGGTCCATTCCTCACTAGAGATAGAGCGAAGACATAAAAACCTCAAAAATGTCCTTGAGACACTTTTCGACGACCAAAGCTCTGAGGGAGACCAGTCAGAATCTGACCATGAAGAAGTCCTAACTCCTTCTGCAGCACAGTACTGGAACAGCCTTCATGCCCACGCCTTATCTCCCTCAGGAGATGAAAGTGAAAGATCATGGGCGTCCTCAGACGGACAGCTTGAAAGAAGAAGGGCCGAACGGGCAAGGGCTAAGCAGCCACAACCGGCTAAAGCCGAAGCAACTCCAATCAGCTCACAAGCTGCACCAAAGGCCGAGCCAAAGGCGACTACATCCAACCATGGATATGAAACTGCAGACGCCGCCTTCACCAGGGCTGAGAACAGATTACTCGGAATCTTTTCAAGTTCCGAAGAAGATCACTCAGACCCGGATGAGCCACATCCGAACGTCTATGCTCGAGCCTATGATCCAAACCTGGATCCGAATCTGAGATAATAAAATTCTCAGAGTTTCACAACAGTGAATCACAAGGCTCTAACAAGAGCACAATGAAGGGCTGCATAATTCGGTAGAAGAACATTACCAGACCTGATCCTGTACAGATGATCTCTCTGACCAACATGCATGAGGGTGTGCAAAAGGAGTGACCTTAACAGTGTACTTCAGTGCTATACCTAGCATAAACAATATGCTGTTTTTATCATGAGTCCAAACTCCGCAACTGTGACATTGGGCATAACAGTATATGTGTGAATGTGCGGCCATGCTTCCGGTAAAAGAAAATTAGTGTCTGTTTGAAACCATAAACCTCTAAAGGGGTAGCTCTAACAGGTACCTACAGCAATGGCTGCATGCTCATACATATACATTCCGCTGCCCATTGGCTCACAGTGGTTTTACCATATTGAGACAAGAAAAGCTCTCCTTGCGTAGCAAGACAAAACAACTACTGTCCGTGTGCAGGGCGCTGCCCTTTGATCCTTAGGGAATAACTGGTCATACACCTCCTCACAAGGATTATTCCTTGGGGGTGTATCGGCACAGGGGGAGGGGGGGGGAGGGGGGGGGGGGGGGGGGAGGGGGGGGGAGGGGGGGGGGGGGGGGAGGGGGGGGGAGGGGGGGGGAGGGGGGGGGCGGGGGGGGGGGCGGGGGGGGAGGGGGGAGGGGGAGGGGGGGGGCACGGTGGAGGAAAAAAAGAGGGGGAGGAGGCCTGGGAGGGGGCGGGTAGGCCCGCAAATCAAAGAAAATGAGGGGAGGCCGGGCAAGGGGGTGGCAAACGAGCGCAAAAACAGGGTGTCCCCAAACATTTCGACTGCAGGGAGGAGGATTAGGTGGTACCTGAGGTAACCACCAAAACGCCTGGGCCTGTGGCCTCGGCGGATATATATATACACATAGATATACATATATATATATATATGTATGTATGTATGTATGTATGTATGCCTGTATGTATGTATGTATGTATGTATGTATGTACGTATATATCAGGAATTGTTATCACATCGTGAAGGTAGTTAGTGTCGCTTTTGGGTTTTGTTTAAGAGATTCTCAACGAGGTTACAGATCGTAATCCAGTCAGGCTTGCCAGATCCGAGATTGCTGCACGTGCGGTGTGCTTGATTAAACCAAACATGGAGTGGATCCCCTGGACTCGACTTTCAGACTGAGCGCTGCAAAGCTGGCAGGTTTGCAGCCGGTCTCTTGGGGCAGACAGCTCAGAACGGGAGTAGGATGCCTCTTGAGTGACGTGAGATTCCGGATTGAAGAGCTTGTGGTCAGGGCTCCGTGCTTCAAGTGGCTGCGGGGGCTTGCAATGATCTTTGAAAGCTAAAGGGGCAAAATTGGAGAAGTCTTGTCCGTGTATCTTACCCTGCGACTGCCCTTGAGCCCCAACTTCGCGCCGGGTGTCCTCGATCAGGTGGCACATAGGTTTTTTCAGCAGGATGACCTGGAAGACCATGTTCTGACAACAGCCGCACTTGCAGCTCTTCATGATTGGTCAAGATTTGATGGCATGGAGTGCCTAGGCAGTGTGACGCACTCCAAAGTAACCCAATATGCCGCAGCGCAGACCTATGTACCCCAACATAGCCCAAACCAGTCAATCATTTGGAACCCCTAGTTTTGGGTTCTGCAGTGGATAGCCATGGACGCAGTGGCGCGTGTCTTCCGGGACCGGAGATGCTTGTGCAACGCTCCATCACACTCAAGACCTCCCAATACCTTTAAGTACCTTCAGCGGAGCATTTGCCATGTGCAGAGTTTGCATCGTAGCGTCCTGACTCGTAAGGTTTTCCTTGACAGGGTGCTTCAGGGATCCAATCATCCGGCATCGTTCAGGTTTGCCCATGGTATATTGCTCAAAGCTTTCGACATTACCATGTCCATGCTCCTCTTCCTCGTGTGGTGGTCATGACGATGAAGGTCGCTTCCTCTTCCCATGACTGCCTTCGTCAGTCTCATGCATTTCACACGTAATATCAGGAGGCTTGCCCGACTGGCACCACCGAGCTCGCCAAACTGCGCGAGGTGCGTTCAAAGATTTGATGTGGACCTTCACGAAGAAAGCCCACCCAATTTCAGCCTGAACATGTAAATGCCAGTCTAAAACATGACCGAATTGCGAGAACTTGGTGGCAATGTGCCATGGGCAGGCGCTGTTGATGATCGCCCAGGTTCTCTGGCTGGGACTTGGTTTTCAATGCCTCTTCATAATCGTCTATGTGTTCTGTGACAGTGTAGATGCTCTGGCAGGCACGCCTGGCGTTGGACAGACAAGTGTGTGCACTCTTAGCAAAATCATTGGTGGCGGATGAAGGAGCAAAGGAGGACAGGAGGAGCAAGGCGAAGGAAGAGCACCAGCGGAGCTACGGCTTATGACTTGGACCGGTAACCGTCGTCACGGGTAATCGTGTCAGGCAGAATGGATTGGGGCATGTGTGAAGAAGGATTTTGCCGTACTTGCTGTAAGCCCTCGAGTTCGATGCAGGCTGCCGTGTGGAGCTAGAGACAGAGCATCTGGATGCTAGTATCTGAATGTAGGCAATGTACGTCAGTGAAGACAACATACCTTCGTTGCCCTTGCAGTTGCAAACGGCCCTGAAAGTTTCCAGCAAATCGGAATCTTGACTTTCAGATTTCATGGCAGGAGAAAATCAGCAGCGAGGCGATCACCTCGCTGCTGGATGAGGTGGCCAAAGGATGCGAGCGGGCTTGAGCACCTAAATAGAATCTGTTTGCATTGGCAGTGATAATTTCAGCAGCAGTTTCTATAAGACTGTACTGGTCAACATTGAGGCGGTCACCTGCTCATAGTTGCGATTTTGTGTTTAGTGCTGTCATCGTCAGAGACCGGGATGGCAACACCCTACTCTCCAGTAGCCACGCGCAGGAGCGCAGCCGGAGTCCGAGTTCGACAGAGCAGGGCTTTCCAGCGTCGGGCATACTTTGTAGAAAGTTGCTTCGGAGATGCTTACTATGAACGCTTGGTCAGGCGTGGGATTCTTCTGCACTTGTGAATCTTGTGAATACTGTAGTTTTCAGGCCATTTTGGAGTCGGCTACGGTTGCTGGTGCTTGCGGTGCTGAGCCAGCCCAGCCGGCTGCATAGCTGAAAGCTCTATTTGGCAGTAAGTGGGGGATGTCTGGCTCCGGCTAATAAGTCAGTAAAGCTTCTCCGGCAACTTGATTCGCCTGGTCGCCTTGTACGGGAGCCACGAGTTGACTTCCACGTATTCTCGGCTTTTGTGGAGCCAGCAGGCTTCACTCCTGTGTCTTTTCTGACTCGACCTCCTGATGCAATAGTTTCTCGGCTGTGGCGAAATCTGGTCCCGGTAGGCCCTGTACCCGAGTCCTTCGGCTACCACTACTGCCAGGTGGAAGGACTCGTCCTAGTACTATGACTGGGACTCGTACTGGTACTACCACTGCTGCTATTGCTGCCAGTACTAGTAGTGCTGCTACTACTCCTGCTGCTGCTATCTGCTGCTGCTGCTACTACTCCTCCTGCTACTGCTATGACGAGTACTTGTACTAGTACCTCGATTACTACGCATACGGCGAATGCGACACCGGCGGTGACCGGCTACCACTACGGCTTTGACTACGACTTCGACCGCGTGACTATACTCGCGTAACTACGGCTGCGAGTACGACTACGACTGCTACGACTGCGACGATGACAATGGTGATGATGACGACTTGTTTGTGCGGTGGTGACGGTGGTGACATTCCATGTCGCTGCAGCTGTTGGTGTGGTAGCGTTGGTAGTTTGTGTTTCCGGGTTCTCCATTTCCCGCTCACAAGCAGTTGTGTCATTAATGCTGCTGTTGTTAACGTTTCAAAACACTCTGAACTTGCAGAAGGTCTCTCTTCACAGCCTTGCACGTTTTTGAGGCCAAAGTCCAGCCGTTTCCCAGGTGTATCGAGATCGACGGCTTTCTCGATTGGCTCGCGAAGAAGGAGCCGAAAGGCGCTTCCGGCTGTGCGACCCAATGTTCATATTGATGATATCGAATTTCGGTTGCTCAGCACGTGTCTCAACTTTGACTGCTGCAGCTGCAAGTCATTTACCCGTGCCCTTGTCAGATAGCAGCTACTTCGCGGGGGTCTCGGGTAGCCGGGCACCTCAGAAAGTGGCATTGCGGGTGTGGCGTCTTTACGTGAGGCCTCAAAGCAAAGCTTCGCGCATTGGGGTGTAAAGTTGACATGGCCCGCGTCTGCCTGGTGGTTTAGAACACAGGGGATGTTTGAAAGGACAAACATCCACATGAACATCCCCCAAACATCCGCCCTCTTGCCGCCGTAAGTTGTACGAGTAAACACGTTTGCGAGTATGTTTGCGAGTAATCCTCTATGAGTAGAAATTTACGAGTAAAAAAACAGTTTACGAATTTGTGTTTGCGAGTAATAATAATAATCCATAATAATCCTCTATGAGTAGAGATTTACGAGTAAAAAACCTGAGTAAAGGAGCTTACTTACGAATGAAAAATCAGCAGTAATGATATCAATGTTATTGGGGATGTTCAAGGGCATGATCATCCCCATGATTATCACTTTCGCCCGTGAAGACCATGAGGCCCGACATGGGCCATGTCAAGTGTAAAGCCAAAGCTGTACAGGTCACGGGTGCAACCGGGACCGCCAAGGGCTAGAGGCAGCTTGCAAAATCTTAGGACTGGTTGTAGATCGCAAGCAACATGCAGAAGCACCATCATGCCCACGAGCATGGAGAGCCCTCACACCATGTACCTACCATTTTAGTTATCCCTAGCCGAGGTTTCCCCCAAGTAAACCAGCTCTCCGCTCCGGCGGAAGCGCGGTTTGGCGGCAGCATCGAGGCGGCCGAGCAACCGGGGATTCGGGTGACCACGGTGAGGTTTCGGGTTGAAGCTCATGTTTGGAACTGAGGTTCCAAATGTACCTACGTAGAGCTCACTGCACCTTGCTCTTATGCCTTTTGGCTTTCTCACCTCAGCTTTCAACCCTCAGGAGCCGTCCCCCCTGCCCTGCAGCGTTGCCAGGACTTCCGAGTTCAATTCAAGGATGATGCTGTGGCGCTGGACTCCTTGCAGGGGGGGGGGGGGGCGGGGCTGTGGGGCAATCAGGGCTTATGTTACGAGTGCTTTGATGCACTGAGCCTGCTGAATGCAAGAAGCCTTTGGCCCAAAATCGTGACTTTAAAGCAGCACGAATCTTCCGTGATGTGAGCGTTGCTTCTGTCCTGAAAGTAGAGCCCACCGAAGCATGGGCAGGAGAGGCTGCAGAACAGTGTCAAGGTCTGCAAAATGTGTGGAAAGCCCTGCACGCCGGCGGCAGTTTCAAACAGATTCTCTGGGGCGGCTCAGAAGACATGAGCCCTCGAACCTGGACCTTACCAGCAGAGTTGGTACATTAAAGGGAACCCATTACCCAACAAACCACATATCGACACCTGCGATCTCGCCGAGCTCACGAAAGAAAGAATGCGAAGCGGGCTCTGGCTATCATCAAGCAGCCTCGACCCTTCAGATCAGGGCGTGCTGTGACTCGTGAACTCGAGCTTTCTGAAACTGCTACTTGTCGAGTTCGCCATAGACCCTAGAGCCGCAAGCACATGCATACCTGTCCTTATCAAACAGACGAAGCATGTTTCCATCTCTGCCGAGGTGCCTTCACGCTGTCTAGTCTCCTGGAAGCATGCAGCCCTTGGTCGTTTTGCTCGCAGAGTGCGACCCACAATAGTCAGCCGAAGTTTGCATTGGTTGATGCATGTCTAGAAAGCGTTTCGGCGATACTGTTTTCGGGCAAATGCCGTGTATGCCCAGTTTGCGAACGTGACCATTCACGCGTTAAATCGCATGCACAAACTCCATCAGTTCTGCATGCCAGACGACCCATTTACTGCTCAGATTCTGGTTATGGCGGATACCAAAAGTCCGATGATTGCAGGATCCAACAGAGTGCCCCTTTGCAAGGCTTCTGCCATCTGACAGAACTTCATGACGGTCCGAAAATCTGCCGACTATTGGAAAACAGAACTGCGAGCCGCAAACTAAGCCCTACAAACCCTGCAGTTCGACACCGGTTTAGGTCAACTCAAACTCCGAAGCCAACCCTCGAGCTTCTGCATGAAGGTTGCAATGCCTGCGGTGCGAGTCTGAAGGACAATGGTTCAGGGTCGAGGGTCGAGGGAATTTGGGTTCGAGTTGTCATCTCAGTCTCCG